TGATCATTGCTTAAGTCTTTTATGTTTTAGGGACACAATAAGAGAATATTTAAATTCTATTACTTCCTTTTAGTAGTTTTAACACTTCCATTAGGGAAAGAGTTGCATAGCACTCTATTGTGTGAATGTTCTATGAGTCTAGATAGAGTTATTTCCTGTCACAATACTTTATTTTTCAAATGACTTTATTGTAACTAGTTTTTAACCAAAAGAAAGGGTTTTTAAAAAATGTATCTTCCACTTTATTTTCATAGAGTAATGTTTAAGACTGAAGTAACATTTGAGGAAAAGTTAAAAATTATTTCAATATGATAACATAAGGATAAATTCCACTCTCCAAAATCATCTGTATTGCCAAAGTGTCCCTTTTGTTAAAAGATACCTAGTAGTCTTTTTTTTTTTTTTTTTTTTTTTTTGTATCAGGGATTGAACTCAGGGGTACTCAACCACTGAGCCACCTCCCAAGTCCTATTTTGTATTTTATTTAGAGACAGGGTCTCCCTGAGTTGCGTAGTGCCTTGCTTTTTGCAAGACTAGCTTTGAACTTAATGTTACTCTTGTTTCAGTCTCCCAAGCTGCTTGGATTATGGGCATGTGCCTGGCACCTGGGAGTCTTTAACATGGAAAGAAAGCAGTACTGATATTGCTAGGGGACAGACAGATGTGAATGGTGGGGACATGAGGTTAAGAGAATAATTCTATAAAATGGGCCCTCTGTGATGACTCTCACATGCTTTCTTTTCCAAGAGCAATTTACCTGCAGCACTGCCTGGTTTAAGTAGCAAGCTATGTTATATTCCTCAGCAAACTACTTCTTATCTGCAGGAGAAATGCAGGCATGAAGTAATGTATGTAAGAGGAACCCAAGTTATCTTGAGGGGGAGACTTTTGTGACCCTCTTCATAGATCAGATCCCCAAACTCAGGGAGATAAGGATAATTCCTCCTAACCATACAATCTGTGAGAATTTATGGTTAAGAATCTAATTAGAACCCATCAGCATGAGCCAAGGTGACACAGAGTTCTCATGGCAGTGGGAACTTGAAAGTCTGATGTCATCCTGCTGTCACCCAAAAGTCAAGAGGTAGACCTGGTGGGACTCTCTGAAAACTTCTTTGGTATTCCTAATAAAACTGGAGTGTAGAAGAGGCACTCTGTCCCTCTCTTCTCCAAGAGAACCCGCTATTCCTTGAGAGTGTTCCTTTTCTCTTTTCTATCTCTTCAATAAACTCATGCTTGTTACTCTGAGTGACATGTCTAAAATCTTTCTGACTTGATTGCGAGAATTGGGGTTTGAAATGGGGCACAGTCTTCATGCTGCCTCAACTTCCCAAGAGGCCCCTGCTCTGTAACAGTATGGACAAGTAATTTAAGTTTCTTCTTCCAATGAAATGTCCTGAGAGCTTGGGAGAGCCTTCTTAATATATCTTTTCTAGTCCTTTTTTTATGCATTGATCTAAAATTAAGCACAGTGCTTTTTTTGGTGATAGTGCATGCCAGGATGACATATCAGAACAGTTCATCAGTGCAAAATTGAGACACATCTGTTCAAATCAATCAGTTACCAACTTGATTGACTAATTTAGCAGGAATGAAAATTTTAAAATCATCATATGGATTGAACCATACAATTCCTTTATCACTACAATATTAAACTTTTCTTTTTATCTCCCACCATAGCATCTGCTAACTTACACCAGGCATTTTGTGAAACTTGTCAATGCTGGAGATTATAACAAAGTAAAAGGTAATATGACAAAACAGTTGTTCAGCACACTAAATACTGAATGACTACAAAGAGGGAATGAGAGAGTCAGGTATTTTTCAAGTTTTTTTAAATTTATTTTTTAGTAAACTTCTTAAAAATTTTATTTGTTCTTTTTAGATATACATGACAGTAGAGTATATTTTGACGTATTTTACATACATGGAGTATAACTTATTCTAATTAGGATCCCATTTTTGATGTGGAATTTCATTGGTGATATATTCATATATGAACATAGGAAACTAATGTCTGATTCATTCAACTGTCTTTTCTATTCCCATCCCCTTCCCTTCCCTTCCCTTCATTCCACTTTGTCTAATCCAGTGAACTTTTATTCTTTCCTGCACAACCCCCTTATCATCTGCATATCACAGAGAACATTCAGCCTTTGGTTTTTGGAATTGGCTTAATTCATATTTAGCATGATACTCTCCAGTTCCATCCATTTACTGGCAAATGCCATATATAATTTTCCTTTATAGTTGAGTAATACTCCATTGTGTGTCTGTGTGTATCTCACATTTTCGTCATCCATTCATCCATTGAATGGTACCTAGGTTGGTTCCATAGCTTAACTATTGTGAATTGTGCTGCTATAAACATTGATGGGGCTGAGTCACTATAGTTTGCTGATTTTAAATCTTTTGGATATATATGGAGGAGTGGGATAACTGAGTCAAATGGTAGTTCCATTCCAAGTTTTCTGAGGAATCTCCATATTGCTTTTCAGAGTGGTTGCACCAATTCCAGTCTCACCAACAGTGTATGAGTGTACCTTTCCCCCTCATCCTTGCCAACATTTATTGTTGCTTGTGTTCTTGATAATTGCCATTCTGACTATAGTGAGACAGCATCTCAATGTAGTTTTAATTTGCATTTCTCTAATTGCTAGAGAAGTTGAACATTTTTTTTTTATATACTTGTTGACAATTCATGTATCTTCCTTTGTGAAGTGTCTGTTCAGTTCCTTTGCCCATTTATCGATCATATTATTTGGGTGGTTTTTTTTGTGTGTGTGTTAAGTTTTTTGAGTTCTTTATATATCCTGGAGATTAAAACTCTATCTGAGTTACAGGTAGCAAAGATTTTCCCTCATTCTGTAGGCTCTCTCTTCACGTTCTTGATTGTTTCCTTTGCTGTGAAGATGCTTTTTAGTTTGACACCATCCTATTTATTGATTCTTGATTTTACTTCTTGTGCTTTAGGAGTCTTGTTGAGGAATTTGGTTCCGAAGCTGACATGATGGAGAGTTGGGCCTACATTTTCTTCTAGTAGCGGCAGGATCTCTGGTCTAATGTCCAGGTCCTTGATCCACTTGGAGTTGAATTTTGCACAGGATGAGAGATAGGAATTCAATTTCATTCTGCTACATATGGATTTCCAATTTTCCCAGCACCATTTGTTGAAGAAGCTATCTTTTATTTTTAGTAAAATTCCTGACCCTTGTTATTCATCTATACTTATTTAATCATAAGTATCTAACACAAAATAAAATTTTGAAATTTTAGGGAATGACTTTTTTCCTGTCCCTCAGCAAAGGAACCAAGAGAGTAAACAAGAAGCAATTCACAAGTATCTTTGATGGTATAATATAGTTGTATGTCAGAAAACAAAACAGAACAAAACAAAACAATTACCTTCATTGTAAAAGTGAAGGCAAGCACAATTCAACTAAATCAGCATGGTTGTTGGGGAAAAAGAAAGCCAGCCTTCCAAGTCAAAGAGTGAGGTAGGTAGCATGCTTTTTGTGTTATGAAATGTGTTTGTTTTGGTCCTCCATTGCCATGTGACAGATTACAATTAGTGGCTGAAGATGACACACATTCTTCATCTCAGTCTCAGTAGCTCAGGAATCTGGGTGTGGCTTAGCTGGGAGCCTCTGGCTCTGGGCCTCTCAGGAGCTGCTGTCAAGCTGTAGGCTGGAGCCTACAGTTCAGGAGCACCTTCACTACCTGAACAGTATGTGGCCATTGGCAGGTTTCAGAAGATCCTTTGCCAAGTTTGTCCACATAGGGCTTTCCACTGGGGGCTGTCTGGAGACATGGAAGTTGGTTTCCCCAAGAGTGTGATTCAAAGAGAGTTCCAGAGAGTACTGAGGCCACAGAAGTGACCTGCCATCACACTTTCTGTATTCTGTTGATGAGAAAAAATCAGTAAGTCCAGCCCACCCTCAAGAGGAGTAAATCACCGGGAAGAGAGATTGTTGGGGCCTAATTTAGAGGCTGCCTGCTACAGTCTGTTATTTTAAATGTAATTTTTTGTTGTTTTTTTGCTATACTGGGGACCAAACCCAGGGACTCTCTCATGCTAGGCAAGAGTTCTACACACTGAGCTATATTCCCAGCCTTTAAATGTAAGTTTTTAAAATAGAAAATACATTCTCATGGTTAAAATTTCAAAATGTTCAAGAGGATACAGAGGAAGAAGTTTTCCTCACACCCCTATCTTCCAGTCCCCTCCTTGAGCAAATTGTTATCATTTTCCTGTGTAACCTTTCTGAGACCTTCTGCCAAACCCGATGTTGGGAGAGAGAAACTCCACAGATAGGAGCAGGAAGCCATTTTAATCTTCCCCTCTCTCTTGCCAGTTTAAACCTGCTTTGCAGAGATAACTCTTTCCTCCTTCTTGGATAAAATCTGAAGTGAATACTATGACTTTTCATCTTCTTGTCAGATAATGAGTTCTCCAATCATTTTCAGTCATAATATTTCATTTCAGAAATAAAATATCTAGTCCTGAGCAATACCAAGTCAGGCTTGGAACTTTTATGTAGAATGTCTCCCCTTGCAGCCAGGCCTGAAAGAAGGAGGAGGGGGTCTTGTGGTCAGCTCCTCCACTACCATGAGCCTTTCCCTTCCTCTTCTGCCTCCTTTCTCAGTCTGTCTTTATCAGGGCTTGGGGATGGGAAATGGGGAGCTCTCTTTTTCATTTCTGCTCTTTTGGCTTATTCAGAGATTTTCTCACAGAAACAACCAACTGTGGCTTTCTTCATATTTGCGAATTCTCTCCTTCATTAGGAGACAATTAGAATTGTTCTTTTCTTCCAAGGACAATTCTCCAACCCCTTGAAGGTAGTATCACTTCAGTCCTGGCAAAACCTCCTGAGACAGCTCCGTGAGAAACTCCCTCTCTCTCATCCTCTGTCTGGTCCTGGGAAGCTCTCACACACCCTTGGTGAATCTTAGATTCTTTGGAAAACTGGTTCAGACTGCCCTTTGCTCTTTGAGGGTTTTTAATTTCTTGAACTGTCTTGCTCAATTCTTTCAGGAATTCTTATATCCTGGGGACAAGGAATGTTCATCAAATCACTCCATGAATTAAAATCCAAAAGAGGAGATGTATCTGCTGGTTGATCAAATTCTTGTCTTGTATGGGTAGGAAGTGAAAGAGTTTTCTTGTAGAACATTTTTCCCACATGTTGAGATACCTTTGAAGAAAAATAATTATAGTAATTAAGTCTGTGAATTCATTCAATAACCCAACACTAACCACGGAGGGAGGCTGAGGTAATTTAAGTCATGTAACCTATGTGTAGTTTGCAGGGTCACAGTGCTAGGTTATGGTGAGCTTTTTCTTTCTCTTAGAAGCATACAGTGTTTTCAGCTGTAAAGCTTTGTGTCAGCCTGGCTCTAATTTTCCAGTTCCCCTTCCTGGTTCTAATATGGTTCAAGGGCACTGACCATGACTCTACTTCAAGTGTACCCCACCTTGACCTTCTCCAGTGGTCTCCAGTGGTCTACACCAGCTCTAGCCAGTCCTTCTCCTGGCTGGTTACTGGTGAGACAAATGAAGCTGCTCGGAGACTTAGTGCCATGTCGCTAACTGGGACCCTACATGAGGCTTCAGCTGATCTTGCTACAAGCTTGACCCTGGATGGAACCCAGGTCACACTGTCTCAGCTTAGATCCAAAACTGCCTTCATTCTAATAATACATCTGTTCCAAGTTTCTGTAACTTTTTTCTTCCATCCATCCTTTTCCTTGTATGGCCAGTTCAGATCCGCCTTCTTGGTTTTGTGCTGATGGTGGTGGTGGTGGGGGCGTTTCTTCTTGGTGGTGGTACTGGCTATCATGGGGCTTTCCTTCAGTCTCCATTTTAGGATGTTGAGACCTGATTATCTTATCCAGTGATGAACTCTTGGCTGTTCACCTTCTGGATCTTCCACATGTTACTTAGAGTCTTCCAATTCTGCCACTTCAATTCCCAATCTCAACTGTCAATCAACTTGGCCTTCCCCCCAGGTTCTGAGGGAACCTTGTTTGTTATGCTGGCAGATGGTGCCTGGGATGCAGTAGCTCAGTTGTGTTTCATGGAAGTATGTATACTAACAAAAATTAATGATAAGTTGAAGCCAAAGACTATTTGATTTGAGAAAAAAAAATCATGAAGTCATTGTAAGTATGCTGAGGGATATAAGATCCTTACTAAAGAAAAGTAAATAATCTAAAAACAAATGTCATATTGCATTAATGTTAATTTCTTAATTTTGACAGATGTACCATGTGGTATAAGATGTTAAAATTGGGATAAACTGTACAATCTTTACAACTTTACTGTCTCTAAAATTATTCCAAAATATTGGAAAAAATAATATCAATGGAAATATTGAAGTATTTATATTAAGAAAAAAATAATTTCCTTACCTTAAAAACTTTAGACAAATAAAAATAGTTTTCAAAGGACAGTCTGAAATTTTAGCTCCTGGCATAAACATTTATGCTCACTAGGAATGGTCCTGAATGAATCCTGGAACAAATTCTGGAACAAATTAGTTATTGCTTTTTGGCTTACCTTTTAGGAAGTTTAATCTTTTGAAAGTTAATTGTTGACCTATTTATGAATGTTGCATGTTTTAAAGTTACATGAGTCCACAATGCAGACAAATCCTTTCAAATGGTGGCAAGGGAAGTCAACAATAAACAATGAATATAACAAATAAATAGATCACATTTATGGTTGAAGGTGATAAGTGTTATGAGTGGAAAGGACAGCAGGAAGATGATATCAGGAGCATGAATGGGGCCTGATCAGTGTGACATTTTAAATAGGGTAATCAGAGCAAGTCTCAATGAGAAGGTATGCTTGAAAAAAGATGAATGTAGGGGTTAAAGAATGAGGGCATCAGGGACAGAACATCCTGGGCAGAGGGAACAGCTGTTGGGAAAGCCCTGGCATGGATGAACATGCCTGTAGCAGTTAAGGAGCAACTGCTGGCAGGTAAGCAAGAGCAGCGGCACTGAAGGGGAGATGTGGAGGGTGAGATCTGCAAGGTTGTGGTGGGTGGGACAGTGCAACTGATATGGGACCTTGGCTTTGACTCTGAAGGAAGTGGGGAGCTCTTGCACAGTTTTGAATAGAAGAGTGACATGATCTGTCTTATGTATAAAAAGGACCACTTATTACTGTTTGGTGAGTGGACTTGAGTAGGTAAAGGCAGAATCAGGGAGAACAGAAGAAGGCTAAGGCAGTAATTGGTGCTTTAGAAAAAGACAATGGTGCTTTAGACAAGAATGGAGCAGGGAGGTGGCAAGAAGTGGTGGCTGGAGCCAGCTTGTTCTTGCTCACCACAGCCACTTACTAAACTTGTAGGAAGTTTGTGAGCCAGTTGTTAAACATTCCATCATTAAAACTTATATTAAAAACTTAAAATTAAGTTTGGTGAGCTGGGCATGTTATTACTTATCATTGCTTGTGTACTTAAGGTTACTTATATCTATTATATCTGAGATATAATATGTCTATTGTATCTGATGAAAATAAAATGTGGTGCTCCTGTGGTCTCTTTGCAATTCTGTATTCAGTGTCATTATGATATTGTTGACTATGGTGAGAGTGATTTATGTGATAGAGATTGGCAAATGCTACAAATCAGGGTTCATTTGTTTTTAAGAAGTTCTAATTGTCAAACATTTACCACACACCACTTCTTATTGCCTTCTCAGTTATACCTAGGAGTGTGTTACCACTCCTCCAACCTAATGTTTTCAGGTTCCTTCACATCTAACATGTCCCCACCACAGACAGGAAAGCTCAATAAAGAGGTTAAATATTCTGTATATTACAACAGAATAAAGGTAAAAAAATTTCTCCCAAGCATCACCCCATTAATAAATATTTAATTATATGAAATCATCATACCTGTGATTGAATTTTTAGTGCTGGCCCTAGCTTCAATCCCAGGGTACCTCGAAGATGCTCCTCTGTGAGTAATGGCAAAGTTTCTCCATCAATTGCATGATCTTTAAATACCTTATTAAACAAAAAGGCATCAGCTTTATTCAAATGTCTTTAAAAAAATAATGTTCTTGCTCTGTATACAGATATTTTAGTTTTGGTAGAAACATTGAGACTATTTGAGACTGACACAAAATTTTATAAAATAACTTTCTTTCTTTTTTCCTTTTTTTTTTCTTTCTTTGCTGGGGATTGGACCCAGGGCACATGCTGGGCAAGTGCTATACTACTGTCCTACACTCCCAGCTCCCAACTTATTTCTAGTTGCTCTCTTTCCTATGTCCCAGTGGCACATTAATAATCCTTGGAATAGATTATAATTCTCTGTTTATAGAACTTATTTCCAACCTAAAACACTTTATTTGAGGACAAGGCTGATGTTCTATGTATCAATGTACCCCTACTGCAGGGTGGTTTATGGTAGAAGATGTGCAATAAACACTGTAGGATAAATCAACAAATGGGCAAGTACCCTGAGTAAAGGGATGCGGGTAGAGCTCAAACATTACCGCCCGGATTTGCAGATGCAGTGTCCTTTGCCCACTGTTTAATGTTTGAAAATGCAAGTGAGAGCAGTTACCCTGGGCCTTTCTAGCAAGGCCTGTTCATTTTAACTCTTTAGTGGATGTTTCCATGCCTTTCTTTCTTCCAGAAGCTAGGAAAGCTACTGGTGGACAAAGTTTCCAGGCAAATAAAGACATGGGTCTGGATCAGTTAGTGAGACCATAATTTCATGATTTCCAACTTCAACCTGCCTGGCAATCCTTGTGTTCATTCATGAGCTTTCTCACCTTCTCTTTGAAGGCTTCTCCATCCTCCTTAAACTTTAGACCCTACAGAGTCCTCCTTTGTTTTCAGCAGATCATTTACCTTCCTAATTTAAAAAGAAAGAAAGAAAGAAGAAAAGAAAGAAAGGCCAGGCATGATCACTCTGGAGGCTGAGGGGGTGGGATTGTGAGTTCAAAGCCAGCCTCAGTAACTTAGTAAGACCCGTGCCTAAACAGAATATATAAAGGGCTGAGGATGTGGCTCAGTGATTAATCATCCCTGGGTTCAATCCCCAGTACCCAAAATGAAAGAAAAACCAATAAAAAAATAAATAAGAATTTCCACTAAATCTGTATAATGAAACTAACAACTGATATTTCTCTCACTATCCTACTTAATGGAAAACAAGTCTGTTTTAGTGAGTTTGTGGTTGGTGTGACAAAAACGCCTGACAAGAACAACTTAGAGGAGGAAAAGTTTATTTTGGCTCCTGGTTTTAGAGGTTCAGACCACGGTTGGCTGACTCCGTAGCACTGGGCCCAGGCATGGCAGAGGAAAATGTACAGGACACGGCAACCAGGAAACAGAGAGAGCTCCCTTCAACAGGGAAAAAATGTGAACCCTAAAGGCACACCCTCCAGTGACCTACTTCCTCTAGCCACACCTTACCTGCCTACAGGTACCACCCATTTAATCCATTCAAGTGGATTAATCCACAGATTTGTTTACAGCTGTCATAATCTAATTTCTCTTCTGAACCTTTTTGTGCATTGTCTCACACAGGAGCTTTTTTGGAGCACCACATATCCTAACCACAACAAGGTCACTCTACTACTTAAAGACTATTTCTCCACATTTACTGTGGATCTTCACCTCTTCCACTTTGGGGCCTCACATGAATAGAAAATTCCCTCTTTTGTCTTCAACTTTTCCTTTTCTGCTAGCTCTTTCCCATTAGCTAAGCAAGTCTCCACCATTGATAAGTGAACAATAATGACAACACACACACTCCATTTCTAGATCTGCCCCACATCTCTCTTTCCCTTCATAGATGCATTTCTCAAAAGGGGTTCAGTGCTCTTCCCTGCATTCCTGTCATTCTTCAGTCTCATGGATTCTGAGTTCTTTCCCTTCCATACAATTAATCCTTCTCTTTTCAGGCTCCCTGGTGCCTCTATGGTACCAAACACTTGACATTTTCTAGTTCTCATTTCTTGTATCTGCTAAATTCCTGGATGCTTTTGACATTGATGACTACTCCTTTGTGAACATGACCATCTCTATATGCTGAAGGCTCTCTAACATCTGTGTTTAACTTAGACGCTCAATCCTGCCAATTCTGCCTCTTAGATAGTGTTTGTATCTGCCCACCCACATTGCTCCTACCCTGGCTTAACCTCCTTATAGCTCACGTGAGGCATCTTGCCCTGTGGTCTTGCTCCCTTCAATCTATTTTCACAAAATCAACTTGAGTGACATTTCTGAATAAAGTGAATCATTCCTCTCCTGCTTAAAACCTCCGCTGCCTTTAGGATAAACTCAAAGTCCTTCCCGGGGTCTTCAAGGCTCCTTGTGACCTGGCCCCTTCTTTCTCTTTAGGATCCTGTCTTGCTGTTCTCATTTCTTCCACGTTGGCCTTGGCCCTTTATGCTACTGCGAACTATTCTCAAAATCCAAGTATGTTAAGTTCTCTCTGGCTCTGGCCCTCACTGGGAAGCTCCTTATTCCCTCCCTTCTGCCTCCCCTCCCTTCTGACCTTCACATCTCACTTCAGAGGCCACTTCCTTTAGGGGGCCATGATTTCCTCCCGTGTGCTCCTACTCCACTTCATATCCTCTCTTGTAGCACACTTCTGTTGTCGTGGGATCCCTGACTGGTGTCCTCCTCTGGACTTTGAGCTCCATCAGAAGAGGAATCACATGTGCATGTTTCCTTATGTGGTCCCAGGCCTTGAAGGGCATGCCTTGGGACCAGCTGGAAAATAGAAATTTCTTGGAAAGCTAAGACCAGGATCTTGTGTTTCGGTTGAGTCATTTACAAAGTGTAATAAGTAATTAGTTCTTTTCCTATTTCAATTAAGCAAATAACAAATAGGCTTATATGAATTAATTTAATTTGAGCCAAATTAAAAATGTTGGTAGTCTGGGTTAGTCTGTATAGCCTTATATTGGAGGAATTATAATTTTCTTAGAAATATCTCTTTGAAATATCAAAAGCAATATGCCTCTTTTGCCACCCTGGAGACTTTCTAGGAGACCAGAGATCCTTGGTTGGAAGCTCAATAATCTTATTGTAAGTGGTAAAGTAAGGTTATTATAACCTTACTCAATAACCTTACTGTAATGCGGGTTATAATAGAAAGGGACAGATTTGTAGTCACATATGTATTTTCCAATTTAGTCAACTTGATGCTTAGTTTTAGTCAGCTGCAAAATAAAGGTAATATCTTTTGGGGGGGCAGAATTATGATATAAAATTTTATTTAAAAGAGGATGTAAGTTATGTGTCTATCACAGTGGATATCACACTAGGCATTATTATCATTGTTAGTTTTTTTTTTTTTTTTTATAAACAAAGAATCCATGTAGAAATGGTTGAGTTATTCAACACACACAGTAAGAAAACTTGTTAAGTTACATATTGTTCATGATTCTGATCCAGGGTTTCCCCTGCTGGATCTCACTGCCATGCAGAAGACGGAGTGCAGATGAAAATAGTTGATTCTATTTATGGTGGAAATCTCATCTCATTTCTACCTCCTTTGTAGTGATTCCAGTGAGTGTTGAAGTGGGTGTTTGTGAACATCCAAAGAAGGAGAAAACACATGAATACCCTTTCAAAGGGAGGGAGGTTGGCAGCCAGGGACTGGCAGGTGAGGACGGACCTAACCCTCAGCCATGGTGGGTATACATGGGGCCTGGGCAAGATATAGAACACATCTCTGTCACTTGGATATGCACCCTTTGTCCTTACCACAGCATTTTGGGCCATGTGTATGATGTCAATGTGCCTCAATTTTTAGTAATTTCAGTTAGTTTTGGGGATAAAATCTTTTATCTGCTGGATTCTTTGAATTAGACATTTATTTAGAATAACAAAATGAGTTACAAGTTCTCCTGTGTGTCCCTAAATAGCTGAGCCACCAACCCTCTGGAGACATCTCTTTAAAAGAGCTCATTTGCACAAGGGTTTGGGTTTTATTTGTGATCTTTTTTTTTCCCCTCAATTTCTTGCTTTAGTAGAAGGAAGTGGGTGTTTGGAGGTTGCTGAATGGACACCTAAGGCAGAGGTGAGGACAGAGGGGAGTACAGTGGGTACAGCTCTGACTAGCCTAGGGGCATGGTCCAACTCATATAAAGAGATGGGCTGGCACCTGTAATCCCAGCAACTCAGGAGACAAGGAGGGAGGATTGTGAGTTCAAAGTCAGCCTCAGCAAAAATGAAGCACTAAGCAACTAAGTGAGACGCTGTCTCTAAATAAAATACAAATTAGGCCTGGGGATGTGGCTCAGTGGTCGAGTGCCTCTGAGTTCTATCCCTGGTACCCCACCCACTAAAAAAGGAGATGGGCTGGAGTAAAAGTTGACAGGACATTTTTGACAAGGAAGCTGTGCACAAGCGGTGCTGCATCAAGGCTGTTGCACCCAAAATGCACTGGGCTGAATCAGGGAGGTCTCCCCATTTCTGTGCAGAGGAATTTCCCTGAGCATAACAAGAAAAGCACACCACAGAGCAGCCCAGTCTTTCGGTTGATGTCATCTGCAGTAGCTTGGAGGGGAAGACATTAAAATGTGTTTTTACCCCTAAGACATTTGAGAAGCATTTAGAAATAATTGATATCATTTCTTCTTGAAGGCACTGACATCCTATTTCTGAAAGATAGTGAGTCAGCAATGTTTGGGGTACTCATGTTTAGGTGACTTCTGTGTATTACCCACAAAGGGACACTTGGGATTATTATTGCAAGAGTAGTTTATTATACTCTTTATAATAAACTTTAATAACTATGGATGGCTGACTGATTAAGAATAATCAAAGTTCCACAAATTTTTAATCCACCAAAATCAGCAATCACATGCTTATTATATACAAAGGATTGTTTATTTCTGGCTGCTATCAGAATTTAATAAGTTCATTGTGCCTGTGGTTGTTGTGGCACTTGATAAATGGTAGATATAAACCTTAAAAGCGATTTACCTGTGACTAGTGACTAATAATAAAATAAGGTTATACCCAATGAGCAGGAGGATATAGGGGAAAAAATTTAATGTTATGCAAATGATGAAATTAGCATTTATCAAGTACTCAAAATGTACAAGGTACTCTTTAATGTTCATAGCAATCCTTTGAAAATGTCTTATTACTATTATCCTCATTTTGTAGGTGAAAGGCACAGAGAAAAGAGGAAACTTGTTTTAAGTCACACATTCAAAAAATAGAAAAGCCAGAATTTGAATTTGTACTTTCTGGCTTCAGAAGCCTTACTCTTAATTACTATGGCTTTTCCATAAGTCCTATGAACAGAATTTTTTTAAAAAAGGAAAAGAAAAAGAATTAACAGCATTACACTGTGGAAAACATTTTACAAAACAGAGTTCTAAAAAATTTTTTTCTAGCATCAGTTGATTATGATATTGTTAACCTTTAATGTCCTTTTCTTGCCTTCTTTAATTTTTTTTAATTTGTTCTAGTTATACATGTTAGTAGCATGCACTTTGATACGTCATATATAATGAAGTAAAATTTCTCATTATATACATGAGGTAAAATCCCACTGGTAGTATAGTTACATATGTACATAGGGTAATAGTCTGATTCATTCTACTATCCTTCCTACCCCCAAATCCCCTTCTTGCCTTATTTTTTAAATATGTAAACCAAAGATAATGGTATCAGATTTAGTAGATACTTTGTTGCTTATAATTGTTATTAAATCACTCAAAAAAGTAAACTATATGCATAAAAAGTAGCAGTGACATAAATTTCAAAACTGACAACCCATGATTTTTGTCACCAATTTTCCCACAAAAATGTGACTAATTTTCTTTCCATTTGTCTTGACAGTTCATTATAATTTTAAAAATAGCATTTATATACCAGATGGAATTATGCATGTGCATTTTTACATATTATCCCAGTATAAATGTAGAATTTAAAAACAGTTAAGGAGCTGGGTATGTCACTCAAGATAGAGTGCTTGTCTAGTATGTAGGAGGCCCTGGGTTTAATCCCACTAAATAAATAGATAGATACAGTTAAGTTTCTACTTTTCAGATCTATTGCTTCCTTGTCCTTTTCAGAATGAAGTATAGCTTTCTTTTATTTAGGATGAGTAGCCTAAAACTTATTTATTTATTTACTTATTTTTTAGTTGTTGATTGGGGCCTTTATTTACTTATCCATATGTGGTCCTGAGAAATGAACCCAGTGCCTCACACATGCTAAGCTAGTGCTCTACCACTGAGCTAAAGCCCCAGCCCCACCCTAAAACTTTTGATATAGAAGCATGTACTCCAAAAATGTTTGCTATATGCATGAGCAAGGAATGTAGCATAATTTCCCATTGCTTTTGAATGTTTAGTCTCTGAATCTCCTTCTAGTTTGGGGAGTATTTCCATTTCTCAGGAGTCTTTCTGGGATCTATGCTGAAGCCTCCCTTGGCTTTGGGTGTGGCATGTGAACCACATACACCCATCAGAAACACCTGTCCCAGAAAAGACAACCACATAAAAAAGTCAAGTGCCCTTGAGTTCAATCCCTAGTACCCTACCTCCTGCAAAAAAAAAAAAAAAGGGTGGGGGAGGGTTAATAGGAATCCTTTCTGGGGGCAAGAGGCAAATTTGACAAAACTATTATGCTGGAAATAAATTTCAAATTGTTGTAATTTTATGAAAATACTTAAATATTGAGTCACCTGAGCACAGTCTGAACAACCTGGAAGGCTTCTAATGAAGTTGTGTACATCATCCACGGTCCATTTCTGAATATCTTCATCCAAAGAAAGATTTTCCCCGACTGTAACCAGTGCATGTGTTCCTTTAAGATGGAAAGGCAATTATTTTGTGGCATGGAATTTCTAGGAAAAAGAGGAAGCTTGGAGCACGGGTTTCTGTAGAGTTACATGAATTTCTCTCAGAGTGACAGAACACGCTCTGTTTACATGAGCCAATTTTGTAATCTCTTTAAAAGATATTCAGAGTCACTGGGAAATGTTCTGTCTCTGCCTTTCTTTTCCTCCTCTGAAAGGATGTTTAGTGACAACAGTATTGTAAGCAAACAAAGATTTATTCCATCTGCTCCCAGATTCCAACAGAAAGCTCTCTCCAGATTAATGCCACCATGTTCTGTGATATTCTGATCATCATGCTCTCTGCTAAGAATTTAGCTACATCTTCATCAAAATGGCAAGCTAACTCTTTGGAGAAAAGCAGTTAGTATGGTGGCTAGATTTCATACACCCCAGAATCCGTGTGTTTAAAAAAAATTTTTTTTTCTAAAAAAGTTCCAGAAACTATTCACTGCATAGTTTTGGCAATGGTGTTTATACATTCAGGTTAGAAGGTATCACAACAGTGATAGACCCTGAAAAGTTGTTTCTTTTTAACTGCCTTTTTTTTCTACACTTAATATAGAAGAGATAGAATTCATACTGAAAAGCAAAAGCCTGTCTGCTTTGTGTTGAAGAAATTAACAGTAAGTTAAATTAAATTTTTAATTTAAAATTCTGGTAAGTTCCTCATACTTCCTCAGACTTTGTTGAAAGTTCTCTATTTTTCAACATATAAATAAAGACTAGTGTCATTGATATGGCTTATTAGAACCAATATAATAAAGTGACTTCAAAAAGAGGTCATTCTAGATGGGAGGGAAATGGGGAGAGAAAAGGGAGACTCATGAACTGAAATCGAATTTCATGCACGTATGAGTTTGTTGGGATGAAACCAACTATTATGTATAATTATAAAGATGTTAAAAATAAAAGAAATCATTCACCAGAAAAAAAAAAGAAAAAGAAAAAGAAGAAGAAGTTGTTATTCTAAGCAGGGTATGGCCCATATTCCCAGACCCAGGAGATTGAGGCAAAAGGATCACAAGTTCAAGGCCTGACTCAGCAACTTGTCGAGACTTTGTCTCAAAATAAAAAAAAAAAAAAAAGAAAAGGACTGGACATGTGGCTCAATGGTAAAGAGTCCCTGGGTTTAATTCCTAGTAACCCCCCAAAAGAGGTTGTTCCAAACAGGATTAAAAAAAAGAAGGATAAAGAGAGGCATAATTGTTGCAGTTCCCTGTGTAATAAGGTCAGGACTTGACAACCTGCTTTTAGTGAGGATCTGCCCTTGGCCCCTGGACACCCACCTGGCAGAGACAGTGGAGGAACTGGAGGGCAAACTCTGTTTGTTTCACCATCACAGGCTTCAACACCTGGCTCTGAAGCCTTCTGCTTCCCACCACCCCAGGTCTTCACCTCCAGGGGAGCAGCATGAGCTCCTTGGGGTTTTCCATTAGTGGGCTGGAGTGCTCCACAGGGGTTGGTGACAGTTGTAGTTGGTTTGTCACTGGTTTTGCTTGACTTCTGATTGTTGCATATTTCAGTTTCTGGGTCTGTTTCATGCTCATCCTCTTCGTGTGGAATTGCATGTGTCTGGTGTAGGGCTTTTTCTTCTGCTCGACTTTTGGAACTCTCAGAATCACTGTTAAGAGGTTTCTGATTCCCTGAACCCCTCCTGAGTCGATAATATTTCTGCCCCCAGCTTTCTATAAAGTGTGGTCCGGTTGCTACCAGAATAGGGTTTCCCCGAAGGTTTCTGAGGGTACTTCTGTGAAAATGCAGGTCACTGGCTGGGAGCATGCTCTGGCCTTGGTAGATGGCTGGGCAAGGTGGGACACTGGAACCATAGAGGAATGGCATCTCTAAGCCACCTAGTCCCTTTGGGTTAAATTTTTCCAATTTCCTTTGCTGGTAATTAGAATACATTTCCATTTCTGCCCTAAAAACAAAACAATATATTTTATACAACCAAAAAAAAAACAACATTAGAAATATAATTTTGATGGCCCTTTGCCTTCCCAGTGGGACTCAATGAGTTAATGCAAGTCTCAATGGTTATCAATCAAGGCAAGTGACTGGGGCAAGTGGGAAAGGAGGACTTGCTGGTAGTTTGGCTTACTTCACTTTCTTATTGGTGGTCACCTGGACTCCTCAGTGTTCAGTGATGAGGAAATTGACTCAACGCCTTCTCTCACCCTGTGGTCATACCCTAGCTATATTGCTCTGCCTTATTTTCTGCCTGTCACTACAGTTGAAGGCCACTGTTGGACTGATGTCAGGTTGTCTGGGCTTTGACAATGTCTGAAGTGGGTTGGCAAACTTGGCTCCTACCCTCCAGCAACACTAAAATAATTTAAGACAGAAATGCCAATATGAACTTCAGAGGCACTATGGCTATGCATTAATTATGGAACACTGACAGACTATCACAATGTATAGAACTGTCAGCTTCACTATGTGGTTTTTAATCTTGAATTTATTGTTAACAAAGCTGTATACGTGTTAGTATATTTTCTTTCTGTAATCTTTTCTGTAAGTCATCAGGGTGTGTGTATGTTTGTGTGAGTGTGTGTCCATTGTCATATATATTCATTTATAAATGGACAAGTGAATTAATAGAAAATAAATACAACAACATTGTTAAGTTACCTGGCAGCATGAGGCCTTCGAATCATTTCATTTCTTCGGCTCACTGCCCTTATGGACTCAGGTGGCAAAAAGCCCCAACCTTAAAAAAAGAAAACCACCATTCCATCCCACAAACAAATGAAAAGCACACATTTGAAAATAATAAAATATAATGATTGAAAACAATGTCTGCAAAAAACAACCCACCAGTTGAACACAATTTGGAAATCATATTGGATCACTGATGTTCACTATCTAAGATCATCTTTAGTGACCGAATGATAAATATAAAATAAATTTTGGTTCTTTTCTTTAATTGTTATTGTAGATGACATTTTCCTGCCATATTGCAAATGAAAGAGGTAAACTGTGAATCTTTGATCTATATTTTCTTATTTAACTGAATATATTTAGTGGTACAATGTAATATTTTGATATGTGTACTCCTTGTAGAAGTGAATTAACATACAATCACTTTATTTGTTTATTATTATTATTATTATTATTTTGGTGAAAAGAACATTTAAATCTTTTAGCAATTTTCAAGTATATAGTACTTGTTATTAACTATAGCTACCATGCTGTATAATATATCTCTAAACTTATTTCTCCTATCTAATTGAAACTTTGTACAATTTAACCAGAATCTCTCCCGTTTACTTCACTTTGGTCTCTTATTTTGAAGGAAAAATTGATAGGTTTCTTCTGTTGACCTTTTATAAAAAAATGTTTCTTGATGTACCAAAATCCCAGGAAATAAATGCAATGAGGAGTTAAGTGGAATTGAGCAGTAAATACATCCTATATTCAAATCAATCTTCCAAAGTACCTCAAAAGCAACATCACCAGGTTTCAGGTTCCATTCTTGCCTGGCAACCTGGTTGATTTCACCTTTCTCTGGATTCTAATGCACTTAGGAGTCTGTCCTGGGGCTTTTCTGAGCCATCCATGGAAAATAACCAGTTTTTAAATTTATTTTCTTTATACATTTCCAACCCATCATGGACCAATACATAAACAATGCAAAAAGTTTTCTAATAGATTGAAATGAAAACAATATGTACAGGCACCATCAAAAAAGACAAAAAGAAAGATCACTGATGACATCCACATAGTGCTAATCTAATGAGTCCTCATCTCACTTGGGCTATGAGTTGCGTATTTGACACAGTGCTCACTCTCCACTTACAAAACTTTCTTCCCCAGTATATGCTCCTGGGTTTCCTCCTACTTTGCTGGTTGCTCCTTCTGTTTCCGCCATGCTCGTTCTTCCTCATCTTTGGGCTCTGTTGATGTGTCTTAGGGATCATCCTTTGAACTCTTCTATCTATGGTCCATCCATAGATGGTCTTACCTGGTCTCATATTTTCTGATGAGTTTCAGGGTTATGGCTCCTGATTTTCTCCACAAGTCCTCCCTGACTTCAGCTGCCTTTCTGACAACTCCACTTGGGGGCTATTAGGCATCCCAAATGTAATCTGAGAAAGCTGAGTCTCTGGTATCTCTCTCTCCCCAAGAACTCTTTTCCTTTATTTTCCTCAAGTTCAATTCAACAAACAGCAACTTCACCTTTTGGATTATTCCCAGGACAAAATTTTTATGGCATTTGTAAAACCTCTCTTTCACCTCCCACACCCAAACTGAGAAAATCCTGTTTTACCACCCAAATAATTATAGAATCTAACCACTTCTTACTATTTCTATTCCCCCAACCCAAGACCTCACCATTAGAATCCTTTAACTGTTCTAACTGCTCCTTAATTTCCTATCAGACTCCACAGATGAGAGCCAAACATGGATTGTTCATACCTGAGTAGATGCGGTTAGACAACATATTTGGCATATTTGCATTGGGTAGAATAGAGGATCCAAAATGGGAAGGAACATAAAACTGCCTTGGGTCAGTTGGACCTACAGTGGGAGGCAACACATCTCTAAGGGGAAAAAAACAAAAGATATAAAATAGGTAAAATGAGAATGAAGTTGGACAAATTTCCATTGCTTAGGCAGGGAGATTTCTTTTTTTAATTGCCACATGGAATTCTATCACCTCTTTCTAAACTGAAGTACAAAAGTCATGTGATTTTTATTGGTTTGTGGAGAAATACAGTAAGGATTAGAAGAAAGGACTTGAAACAGGTCAAGGAAATTCATTTCTGTAGTTCCGGAGGATTGACCCAGGTTGACAAAAAGAGAAAACAGGAAGGGAAAGTTTTAGGGACATCTAGAAAAAAATATCTTATCAAATCAATGCCACTTGTGGATTTTTTATGACCAACATTATGTTCTTTCCACAAACTCTGTTCTTATTTAATGGACATATTTTGCTTGTGATTGCCATCTGGAGTCAATGTTGAAAAATCTAGGTGAACAATTTTTTTTTCCTAAATTTCAGTTGTCTCTGGGAGTCCAACTTTATTGTTCACATTCCTTAGACAAGAATAAATAATGTGTCTTATTTTCTTTTCAGAATATCAAAAGACATTCTTGAGAAAGGAAGATAGAATATTGACAGCGTGTACAACCAAAATACTTATAATTTCACTTTTGTTGAAAAGAAAGAATTGTCTATCATAGGCACCCTATTGTTATGGATTTAATTGTTTCTCCCTAAATTCACATTTTGAAGTATTAACCTCCAGTATTACTACATTTGGAGATTAAGCCTTTAAGGAGGCAATTGAGGTTAAAGAAGCATAAGTGTGGGGCCTAATCTGATAGGACCAGTGAAGAGGAAGAGAATCCAGAATTCTCTCTGCATTTACACAGAAAATAAAGGTCATTAGATGACACAGTGTGTCTTCAAGGAGTCTAAACATCAGGAAGAGGCCTCACTGGAAACCCACTGGGTAGCACCTTGTTCTTGGACTTTTGGCCTCTGGAACTAGAGAAATGAATTTTCATTATTTAAGCATCCAGCCTGATACTTTATTATGACAGCCCTGGAAGACTAACACACCAATGTTTGCATCTGAATGAGGCTTGTAATTGCTGGCTAGTTATTTTGCCTGCTGAGCAATTAGGTCAAGCAGGCCTAGAAGGGCAAGTGGTAGCAGATATCCTGAGGGGAGACAAGCATCTTGACTTGAGTTATCACAGCACAGCTCACTGAGATAATAGAATGTCACTGGCGTTAACATCATTCTAAAGGTTAATGATGAACTCTACTATCATTTTACTGGACTATTATATTGGAGAGACATACCTATCCACAATTGGAGGTCCAAATGGCGTGGGAACAAGTGGAATCCTCTGCTGCCCCGATGCTGTCAGTAAGGGGTTCACAGCCATCACGGGATTTGACATCAGTAGCTCTTGACTCTGATGGAGTTCTAAAAAGAACCAAATAAGTATGTTAACAAAGAACTCTACTTTTTGTGAATTCTTCTTGAACACAGTGAAAATCATTTGTTTTTTTTCACAATATTTGGGAAAACTGGCTACATCAAGCTTTTGGTTACCCTTTACAGAAAGCCCTGGGAGACAACTGTAGAACTGTTTTGTAAATATGCCTTTGGAGTTTCTTGCCATCCAGGTAATGGCATAACATACTAGAAGCAATAATCAAATTAAACCAGTCTTGCAAGATTCCAGGAATACCAACTTCCTTTCTTACAACTTGTTTTGATTCTTACATTTGTACGGGTCCAAATGAAAACATTCTTCTGTATGTTCAATCTTTGGAAAAATATTCTGATAGTTGACAAAATTAAAACAGAAAATTAGTTGGAAGAATCTTCTTAATGACTAAGAATATATCTAAATAGGATAGATATTGGTTGAATATGTGAGACTAATTAGAAAAAGTGACCAAATTATATACATGCTTGTATAAACACAAATATTCTTATAATTTATCATCAGAACCTAGTGATCAGAAAAAATATTCTTTGAATGATTTAAAGTATTAAGCAAGTATTAGTCAAACTAGTTACCTTTATTTTATTTGTCTTTATGTAGTGCTGAGGATTGAACCCAGTGCCCCACATGTGCTAGGCAAGTACTCTATCACTGAGCTACAATGCCAGCCCAGCTTCTCCATTTTTTTGGGGGGGGGTGGGTAGTAGAGATTGAACTGAGGGGCACTCAGACATTGAGCCACATACCCAGCCCTATTTTGTATTTTATTTAGAGACAGGATCTCACTGACTTGCTTAGCAACTTGCTTTTGCTGAGGCTGGCTTTGAACTCACGATCCTCCTGCCTCAGCCTTCCGAGCCGCTGGGATTACAGGCATGCATCACTGCATCCGGCCACCTCCTCTATTCTTAATCGTCACTTAAAAAAAATCTGAAATATCTACAACTATATGTAAGGAAAGGAAGTCAGGAAGAAAATGTTTTCCATTGTAGTGATCTTTCTTTCCTATTTTCTTTTCTTGTGTGTCTATTTGATTTAATTTTTAATATAGCTCATTTATTCACATGGTTCCAAATCTAAAAATAATAGCATTTAAATATGCAATCCCTTCTTTAGCTTCTTTTTCAGATCTATCTCTACTGATAAAATTGAAAATTCAAGTCCATATGTCACCTAACATTGGCTTTGGCCATCATCATCATCATCATCATCATCATCATCATCATCATCATTATAGGGATTGAATCCAGGGGTGATTTTTCACTGAGCTCTATCCCCAGACCTTTTTATTTTTATTTTGAGACAGGGTTCTGCTAAATTGCTGAGGGTGGCCTTGAACTTGTGATCCTCCTGCCTCAGACTCCCAAGTCTGGGATTGCAGGCATCGGTCACTGCACATAGCTCTTTTTTTTTTTTAATTTATTTTTATCACTGAACCTCTGGGATATCAGTATGATTTCTTCTCTGATTGTGGCCTTAGGGAGTTTAGGCATGGTATAGTCGAGGTTAGAATAAAAATATCTGAGGACTGGGATTGCAGCTCAGTGGTAGAAGGTTCACCTAGCACGACGTGTGAGGCACTGGGTTTGATCCTCAGCACCAAATTAAAAATAAATAAATAGATAGATAGATAAGTAAAGGTATTGCTTTGATGGTCTCTGGCAGAAGTTTAAACTTATCCTTAAGTGATATAGACTTTTTGAAGTTATAAAATTGATGCATGAGAAGCTGGGGTTGTGGCTCAGTGGTAGAGCGCTTGCCTAGCACCTGCAAGGCCCTAAGTTCAATTATGAGCACCACATAAAAATGAATAAAATAAAGGTATTGTGTCCAACTACAATTAAAAATTAAATATTAAAAAAATACAGTGCTCATCTTTTATTTGATGTGATGTCTGAGACAAATCGGGGGAAGGAGGAAGGAAAAGGAGAGGAGCAAGAATGGCTTAAAGGCCGACCACCCTTCTTCCTCAGCATGTCACCCTTGGGAAAATATAGGGAGTTGAATCACTAAAAGCAAAGGAGGTTGTCTTACTTTGAAATCCCTAAAGCAGGCCCCGAGACAAGGAGTTTAGTGCAGATGGTATATTTAGGAGGCAATTGGAGGAAGTTCAGGAGAGTAAGGAAGTGAGACCAGGAAGTGAAAAGTCAATAAAGGATGAGTCAGTGTGTGGGTTACCACTGTGGGAACTGGGGTTCAACCCTACTGGGATTCTCTAAGAAAACTTTGTGGTAAATATCTCAGAATTGTCCCCAAAAGACAGAAAGGTGGCCACGTACCCAGTGATTTCAGTTGGCCATTGGTTGAGGGAATAGTTTTCCAACGGGTCTGGATTGTGCTTAAATTAGACCCAACAAGCTCCTATGATGTGAGACAAAACCTTCAGACTGAGAAGCAGAGAGATGCAGGGGAAATGACCTCCATGGTGGCAGATGAATTCAGAAGAGGTCCAGGGAGATGTAAGGAAGGGCAGCAAGAGTGTCTAGTGTTGTCAAGGGAACAGGATTACCTTGTAATGTCGTCCCACCAGGTAACCACAAATGCCTTTCTTCCACAGTGCCAGATCCATCAGGCATAGGATTATTTCTACAAGGATCTGTAGGGTCCATTGGCTGCAAGAGCACACAGGGGTTTCTTTCTTTCTTTCTTTCTTTTTTACTATAAATCACAAAATTGGTGAAAAGTGGAGAACTTAACACTATCAGATCAATGGGAAAGGAAGCATCAGAAACAATTCTTACATAATTTACCACTATAACTGTCCTTGGTACCACATCTGTTCTCTTTTTGTGGGAAGGCTCTGAGAAAAGCACTCTACCACTGAGCTACCTTCCCAGCCCCTTATCTATTCTTGATCCCATGGTCCTCAGGTCCAGCTTTCCTTCTTTTTTTTTTTTTTTTTGCAATGCCAGAAGTGTTGAATGTAAACTATAAAAATTTTTTATGCTTCTAATGTGTTGGCTTATTGTTACTTCACTGGCCCACCTATTTTTTTTTAACCTACAATGCAAACAATTCCCAATGTCTATGGAAAGGTCCTTGCATCATGGAAGTCTCTGGGGAGGACAACAAGTCACTGCTTTCTGTAATACCTGCATGTTACAGTTCTGAGCTCCACTCGGCTTCCCAGTTTCTATTCATCCTTGTACTAGTGAAAAAGTAGGTATTTGCTTATCACTAGAATATCTATTGGGTTCCATATTTCTCTGAAAAAAGAAAGCATTTCCTTTCTTAAAGTTATTCCTGTTATGTCCCTAACACTATATATATTATATATTTCATTTCAGGAGCAATTTTAGGTTCACAGCAAAACTGAGCAGATAGCACAGTTCTCGTCTCCTCCACACATGTACAGACTCCCCCACTATCAACACCCTTTACCAGAGCATATATTTTGTTACCACCAATGAACCTACATGCACACATCTTTATTATCTAAAGGACAGTTTCCATTAGCTCTTATTCTTGGTGTGCATTTGAGAAAAGTATAGTGGCATATATCCACCATCATAACATTATGCAGAATAGTTACACGGCTCTAAACCAAATTATGTTTTAAAACAAATGTAGCCAAAACACTTTCAAGGAAATGTTCTGAAAGTGACCAGATTGGTCCCTTCATCAGCCCCAGGTAGATAGTTGAAATTCCAAATCTATATAATGCTCCTAAACCATCATTTTAGAGGTGTTAAATCACATGATCAACTAGTGAGTCTTCAAATATTCACTTTCACATTCTCAGGGTATTCTCTGTTATTTTGACATGCATAGACAAATTTGTGAACTAGGTTACTTTACCATAGCAGATGAAATGCTCTTGAGTAAAAGTGCAGACTGGGATATAAGTTTTAAGGCAGAGCGTGTCTAGTAATCCCAAAGTAGGGGAGCACAATGGTGCTTAGGTTTGCATTCAGGTGGATTTCTCTGACCCAGAGCTCTAATCCTGGATGCTCAGCACTTTAGGAGGATAAGGACTCTTTAATCTCTGTCTTCAGACTCTTACCCTCAACAAACCCCTCCAGGCAGCACACAGACGTCTTAGCTAGTGCTAATTCTGTCTCAACTAGTTAGGGCAGTAGTAGGAAGACATGAACTTCCTGAACTAAAGCCCTTGCTAAATCAGCAGATACAAATACTTGCCCATTGCATAGTAGCCAGGTATAATTTGATTCTGTTTCCCATTGGTTGAACTGTGGTCATTCATTAAAATCAGTGCAATTTGAGTTGACAAATATATGTATAGAATATTTATTGCATATATGATGCATGTATTCTGGGATTAAGTACATTAAGATAAATTAATTTTTTTAATAACTGCTTTACTTGGTCAGTTTTTATATTTGTGAAATACACTAGTGTAATTAAATATTTCCATAATTTTGAGAAAATTAAATATTAATTTTTAAATTGAAATTAAAGACAGATATATTTGAAGGTTTTTAAAATTAAAGCATAAAAAAGTCATTATTGGCTTCACATATTTATTATTCTAGATGTCCTGTGGATTCTGAAAAGCATACTAATGCTCAAAGTAATCTTGTGTTTTCAAACTTTTAAAATAATAAATGGGAAATCTTTTAAAAGATAGAAAAGCCAATGAAGCTGCCTAAACGCATTACATTATCACCTTTTGGGAGAAAAATTAAACCAAGCAAATAGAAATTAGGCTAGTTTCTCATAACTGTACTTCAAAGTATGAAAATACATTTTTATATCCAGTAAGAAAAAAATTTTAAAAACTAATTGTACAAAATAAAAATAATTGTATTAAGATTCAAAATAAATTTGTTAATTGAAATAGAGTTTAAAGTAAGCCTATATAAATAAATTGGCATAGGATATTTGACTATTTATAATTGTAGAGGCACATATTTCCTGAGAAGGTTACAAGGGAATCCTAAAATTAGTCTAAGAACTTATGTCAAGCAGATGAAATTATACATTTA